GAGTTAAATTGAATGGCCCAGTAACTCATAATAATCTGAAAATTCCTGTTCACTTCCAATGTTCACCTAATTTCTTATGTCGAAAAACTTCATTATCGAATAGTTCTCAGCAAAATATGAATCATTTTCAATCAGGAAGCTATTATTCAAACGGTGGACATATGGTGAACATAGATGAAGGTGTCATGTTGATTTGGGGAAATTGAGATACATTATCAATGAAGGAGTATGTTCAGCTACTGAGCGATCACTAAATGAGTCAGTTTCTTCTTCATCCTTTCATACTTCTTTACAAATCTACAAATTCTTTTCTTGTACAGTTAGTGCTATTGAAGTGAAATAATCCTAACAAGTAAGTCATATGTTATTATTCATTGGTAAATAACAGGTGCTAATCATATATTACTCAGTCCATGTTTCATGCAACAAATGTCTCTGTAAACTGTTTCATGAAATTACCTTCTACAGAAACGAGCAGAAACGAAGGAATAACTTTCATAATCACACTTAATCACAGACGTAAGTTTGACCACTCCCAATATTTCTGTATATATGTATATGATCTCACTAAATATACACCGAGCAATCGTCCAGTTTACTAGAAACCTCTTTAAAGCCATGGTCAAGCCCTTTCACAGACCTTCTGTTCATTGACAAAAGTCATCAGCACTAGAAGTATGCTGACTGATCAACCAATGTGGTTTGATAAACTGTTCAACTTTTCACATATTCCAAATACTAGTCGACTTGTTTGTCGCCGTTCTATCTCAGACCAGTTCTCTTCTGTCTAACAACACATCTGTCAAATAACTTACTGAGTACGAATTTGCAACACGAGTGGACCATGGAGAATGACAGCTCCATAAATTTAAGATCATGGTTATTTTTGTTGTCTATTTTTCAACTGTTGATTTGAAGTGGAGTGAGTGAAATATATTTGGGTTTGTTTTAAAGTAGCCAGCTAACTCAACTAAAAAGGGTATTCAAATATTAACGGTGAGTTTATCTTATCCCTATGTATTCTTAGTGATATTTATAAGTGTAACAATATACAGATGAGTGATGAATACCTGTCATTTTCTGTGTAATTAAGAAGATGGTGTTCGTTTTACCATCCACACATCTATATTGCTGTCGTTTTCAGCTGACATCGAGGCTGTCTACAACCTTTCGTCTGCTCTTCACATGATTTCCACGTCACCCTCAGACTTCCACCCCATCGCTTCTCATTTGGGTTTCCGTCGAGGATGTGGCGTGTGATATTACTGAACAGTCTCATTAGAGTATGCATGGTCCATCCCTATTTTCTGCAAATTTTTAGGCAACAGGATTTTCGCTCTTCCGCTGAATTCCAAATTTATTTTTTACCTCTCCTATGTAGCGAGCCACAAGAGTGAAGTGGACATGTGCTTCTGAAAGTTCACAGCCTGTTGTAAATGCCTTTGTTAAGACACGCCAGGTCTTTGAATCATATAGAAGTACTAGCCTGATATTGGTGTTCAAAATTCCCATTCCGTCCCAGGTTCTAAGTGCTGTAGATCTCCACGGGAGATCACAGTAATAAAAGCTTATGTTGCTTGCCATACTTACGCTGAACGGCTTTGATATCCTCATCCATCCTGCCCAGATAAGTGAAAGAGACGACAGTTTTCCTTAGATTCTTCTCACTGATGATGGCCTGTGATTGTCATTGGTAGAGTATCTCCTCTACTATTGGCAAGAAGAAGTTTGAAAATTCTACGTGTACAGATTCAGCAATTTTGGGAATTTTGTCTTTGTCATAGTGACACCTAACGGCTAGAGGCAGATGATATTGACCATTTCTTCCAATGACATACATGTAAATAGACAGGTTATGTCACATGAGAACATCACTTTTTGAAAGATACTGAAGTAACTGACTGTCAAGAGATCCGTGACTGACCATTTTCTAATTCATCCCAGGTTTATACTTGAGAACAAATGTAACTCTTTACTAGGCTTATTTAATTTCGCCTGACTTTACATAAAGGTGAGACAAGCACATCTTAATTTCACATAACCTTGTACCAATCAATATAACTTACAGGGTCTTTTGAGTTTCGTCACTTGGTGTTGTGATGCATCAGCCTGGTCATTATCCAGACTTTCAAATCTGAGCATCATCTGAGTTCAAACATATTAATCATTATAACCCCAGCACTTGAGTGTGGCTTCCTCATAACTAAACTCTATTTGTTTCGTAGACTTTATAAGTCACCATAATATTATGCATGATTGCTTCTGTAATATTTGAAGTGCAGTCGATTAAGTTTTCTATAGTAGTCAGTCATAGAAGTATGCCAAAAACTATCTTATAAATGTTCAGACGTGTTACACAGTAATTTCGTGTTTCGAACTCTCATGGTGACTGAAAATGTAAAGTATGCTATTTTGTTTAACTTTTCTTGATCACCGGATTTTATCAGGTTTTTCTCAGCTGAGAAATCGATTAAGTATAATGACACCTTGCATTTGGAATTCTGTTACTATTATTAACATTTTGGACTAAGTATCATCTGAAAGTGATTGATAGTATGATACCTTACAAAATGAATACATGAATCCATCAGCTTTCCGAGATCTAGAGTCTTTAGTTATAAACATATGATATCTCCCTTTTAGATTGATCTCGTGAGATTTGAAAACGAACTAGAGACATGGCAGAATCTTCCAGTTCAAGACCAGAACTCTAGCCTCTGTCAAATTAAGTTAGCTGATGGTCTCATACTTGATGGTGATGTTAGGTTAACGCTTCCTGAAGATGCAAATATTCAATCCACTAAAGTGTATTTGTTAAGATACTTAATATGCGATTCGTTGTTGTCGAATTTCAACCACCAATATCGTCTTTGCAGAACTAAGTCATTTGTACTACATCGAGTTCCAAAAGTTTCAGGAGAGTACAGTGACAATTCAGAATTTTGTAAACTGGTAATTCGAAGAAGGGCTGACAAAAGGAGGTAAGCATAATTATTGAGCAATGATATTAGTAAAATCCTTGAAGGTACAGAACGTGACAGGTTTCAGCTTTTCGAATCCTCATGGAAAATTCATGTAGAAAATGCAAGCAAGGTATTCGGCGAAGAAACCTTTTCACCAAATAATCAGCGGACTGATTTCTACAACTCGACCCTCATTTATCGAAAACCACACGTGATTCGATCATTTTTCAGTCACGTGCAGCACAGCATGTGTAGTCCTGATGGTGTGGAGGAAGAGTTGAGCCTGTTAAAAACAGTCCTAGCCGAAAATGGATATACACCACGTTTAACATAGAAGAAATACAATTAAAGCTTATGAAGTATGTTTTTGACGTCTGTATCCAAGAAAGAGCTACATGTGAATTGTGAATTCAAATGGAAACTAACCGTCAACATCCCCCAAAGAAGGATCTTATAGTTACTATAAAGGAGATTCCTTGAGGCATTATCACGGGTAGCGTTTTCTCGTTGATCATAAATGTTCGATAACCTGAAGAGCATGATCGCTTAGTTGACCAACTCAGTGAGTGCCTACTAGTTGACCTACTCCTATGCAGCTAGATATGTGTGTCGTTCAACACTCATTTATTCAAAAGGGTGCAGAAACACTATCCTGTGTGGTTATGAACAGGTGAAAGTGGCACCACAAGAAGCGCAATAATTGAACATCTGGTTGACACTAGTCATCTAATCTGCATAATCTCTTCCTCTAAAGTCATCTATAAGGTGAATGATAACCTGCCAAAATAATCACGTATCTGTCTCATGTGTATTGCTGAGGCTTCGACTGTTGAAATGGAGAAGTCTGAGTTCTGTATAGTGAAGAAATATCTTCAACCACTTCTACTTTTATGGTTAACCTATTATAATCTCCATTTTACCTTGAGCCTATTTGTTTTTCCTTTGTTTATTTAATCTATGTACCCATGTTATAGCAGCCTTGTTAGCTCTATTAGCTTTACTATTTTCACTTTGAACGATTTCCAGTATCATCTCATTTGTCATTCCTTATTCGTTTAGTCCAGCATAAATTTTGTCGTGTTAAGCCTTCAAAATTTTCACATTGTTACGTAGTTTTAATTGCTTACTGGTCATGTTACTTCGATTCCCCTTTCTAAGATTTGTACATTCCACGGAGAGTTTGGTAAATTTCATAGGCGCTTTGAGAAGAGCCTCTCCGATGCTGCACATTTTTCGAATATTCTTCATGTTATGACAGTGATATTTGGCTTTCTAGAGGCAACTGATAACTATTTTACTTTAATCTCTTTAGGCGGTGGTGTTGTATAGGTGACAGACTACAGTGTCTAGAAATCGTGAGCTGGAATAAGAGGTTCATTAGTTGTCCCTCAGTTTGCCCTTATTCTTAAATTCATTTCGAAATTAGCTACACAAGGAGAAGTAAACATGTATTTTCCTGGCATATGAATTCATTAAAATGTCTGAAGTGAGCACTTTCGATATTCTTGAACATTTATTTCTGTAAACAAAAAGAAACTTTTCACTTTGTATTACATATTGTTCATCAAAATATTTTGTTTTAAACAGGAGATTTCATTGTCATACTTATAAAGGAACGTTCGTAAAGAAAAGGTAATATTTTTGAGTGTCCAAAATCGTTATATTGTATGGACTACTCTAATTCTAATCTGCATAGCGTTCTGATCACATGTATATAATCGTTTGTATTTGGTGAAATTTGTTCTACATCATCACCACTGCCACCACTTGCTGGGTACATCCCATCCAGAATAATTCTCGAATCCATGCTTCTTCGATTTTGGGCTACTTCCGCATCCAGGGAACCAGAGGGAGACTGAATAGGCTGGAAGTTCTGAGTACTCGATGGGTTCTGGGTTAAACTTATTTTTGGACTTTTCAAAGAGGTAGGGAAGTGGATATTGTTTCTATCCCATGGCCATGTAATACTTACCCATGCAATAAAATCAGTCAATAATATGCTGTATATACTGTTTGACTTCTCTTTCGTCACACATCTCATATTTTCAAATAAAACTGGAACCAGCATGTTGTTCCATAGGTCAAGAAACCAATGTAATGAGGCATTATCATCCAGGGGCACTTAAGTGTGGATTGAACGCCGAAAATGGCACAGTGTTTTCTGTCAGTTATAGAACACAGGATTTCATTTAATTTCTTCCAAAACTCGGTTAACCAGAAAATCAACTGATAACACTTCCGATCCTTATTTGCACTGGCAGTAACATCTCCGTTTGTAAGTCCATGTGAACAAAACATTCGACTTTGAGCGAGATTTCTGTATAATACTCTTTCTAAATATTCTTGTGTACTCTTTATGTCAGGCAAATGATGCATAATCCTATTATTTGTAAAAAGGTAAAAGACAAGTCGAAATATCAGTTAGTTTTCACAAAATGTAGTGCTAAAAATGTTACCCATTATTATCAATAAATGAAATGCATTGTCTTCAAGTCAAACGAAATAATATGAACGGAAGAAAATCTGATTTCTTGATAAAGCGATTGGTTAGTTTACTACAAATCGATATAAAAATGCAGACTGAAACCTTAAATTCCGAAAATCTTGAAAACGTTCCAAGATACATTTATTTTATTTTTTTATTTTTGATTACAGCTTGATTCCACACCGTAGTTTTGGTACAAGTATGGAATTTTCAGCGTGGATATCTGCAGCCCGAAATTCGCAGGCCGACCATAGATATCAGGTGTGCGTCGGCGACGGCTCGAACCCCGACCATGTGCATGGTCGGCGAGAGTCCTAACCACTGTGCCATCGACGCATAACAGAAGTATATCGGTCTCTTTTTACTGTAATGTGGAGAGTAACAGCTGAGAATGTCATGAATGCCTTGAAACTAACTAACTAAAATTTCAGATTGTTTTCAGCAGTCACTTTCCTTATAGACTTAACATTTTATCTAGTGATTCATATAAAAGTTCTGTTTTCAAAATAAGCGGCGATTCACTAAAATATTGTGCAATCATAGAGGAAAGTGTTATGAACATTGGTCTAGATTGTTTTACACGTAGAAAGGGACTGAGATTAGGATATATGGACATTGTGATTAATCTGAAGGGTAATCATGTTAGTCTTGTTACACTTTCCCATCAGGTGAACTATGGGTTCCACATAACAACACATATGCCTCCTGACCTTAATAGCAGGAGAAAGGCGGTTCAGTGATTGGGATCCACTCATTTTACAGGTCCACTTGGTTTTACCGGAAGACGTTGAAAGCACAGTGATGTAGGTGTAACTATGCAAACACTGATCCAAGTTGCGAATCCCAGTTTATTTCTAATCTTTTATATTCACTTAGTGTAGAGATACAGTGTATTTCATTAGCCACTTCCAACTAACAATAGTGATATGAATATGAGTGCATACACTGCTCTGGATTTGTTATTGTAGCAAGTAAGTGTAATCAGCGACAAAATTCGCTGTAGACCATAGTCATCATTTGAGCAGAAATAATATAATATTATTTACTCTATTGGATATATTTAGTTCATTTATCATTAGTACTACTCATCTAGTTTGCAGAAACACTGAAACACATCGGGATTTAAGATAAACATGTTTACATGATGGCTGTGATGATAAAGTGAACGATCAGAATTCAGCTGACTGACTTCACCAGCTTAAATACCTCTTTATACAGCAGTTAGTGTAGATTAAATCACCGAATTTTGTGTGACATTTAAGCTTCCGTCGATTGGAATAACACGGAAACTTGCAAAACAAACTTGACTTTATTGAATAAATCAAATAAATAATTTCATCAACAAACAGTTGCATTAACTTAAGAATTCAGCGAACTCACTTTATCTGATTGACGCGGCAAGTGTTCTCAAAATCTTTGTCCGCACTTTCACGTGTACCTATAATCTTTGGACTGAATTGTAGAAAACGAAATGTTCAATTTCAAGTTGATTATTCAAATACTCAGATTTTAAACCGTGGACATAATGTTACGCTGTCAAAAAAATTAACCTTAGACAAACCACTGCCCTAAACAACCTTGTTATGAGTAATTCTTCCATGACAAGATTAATAAATACTCGTGAAATCTTAATGTGACATATTAATTCAACTTCATTCATATCAAACAGTTTTGTATTCACTACTAGACTATGAACCTCTAACAGTGCATCAAACATCTTTTTATAATGTCATGTGATAAGTATTAAAAGTTGTACACACCTTAGGAGAGAGAAGAGACAGAATATCCGAAATCCAAAACTCAAAGGTTTGTTCTTATTCTCATGTTTCTACTGAGAAATGTCTGTTCGAGGTGATAGTTTCGGTCGAAATTGGTGAACATCTCCTTGTTTGGTTTGACTGGCTACTCAGGCTTTAAGGAATGCATTCATTATAACATAGAGATCATCTAGATAATCAAACTAGTTGATAAGGGAACCGGAAAGATTTGATGAAATTTGTATACCAAGTAGAATTCTTGGCTCTACACCGGTGGAATATTCATTTGCTTCCTCCCCCCCTCCACCACCACATAGCGAATAGCAGTTAGTGGATTCTTTTGTGTCAACTAGACCCTGTGTGGTACACCTAATGGAATGCACTTAAATCTGACAGACACCTAATGTGTTAAACAGGGACTGTTCTCTAGTACCGATGTCAACTGAAGGATGCTCATGCTATGGTGATGTCATGCAGCTAGATGATTAAAGCTGATTCCTGGAGAGTGAGTGAAAAGTGAAGTATTCATTTTGAATATAGAAGAGTAGAGATCGACATTATGTGTGCTTATAAGGCATAAGTCTGTTACACACTGTCAATAGGTTGCTTAAATCTCTACAGTTGACAATGTATATTCAAATATTTCTGTAAATTTGGTACCAGGGGAGGGAATATTTAGACAAGAAACAAATTAAAACTAAAACATGACCTATAGCACAGGTGAACTCACAGCACATCTAGATAGTCTGATAGTCTTTTACTTCTTAAAAACCAACTTTTCACTGATACACCATGCGTGATTTAGGTAACTAAAGCTAAAGAATGACTGAGTTAAGATGTCTACCACTTGAGTGGAAATAAAAAACATACTGTAGCTTAATATGATTCTTATGAAGGTTTGTGCAGTTTTCTGATTATTATTGGAATTCCACAGCAAGCCTGAATGGAAATTAAATGTCAGATAATCGAGTGTAAACTGACATTTTCATATATATATATATATATATATATATATATATTTGTCAACTTATGCAGTGAATCAGAGCCGTAAACTAGACGGAGTGGAAATACGTATTGAAAAGTTGTACAGTGGTTATGTATTTGTTTGGCGAAGTTAATCAGTTATAAAGTAACATTAATGTTTATTTCCACGAAGTAAGTGATTCCCTAACACTCCAAATACACATTTCATGTCAAACTAATGAACGTTTAAAATAGTTTTAAGGAAGGTCCTTCACTGACCAACATGAATTCGACAAACGTTTGTCACTAACTTCAGACTCTTCCTCAGTGTCCATCCTAATAGTCACTTGGGAACTACCCCATCACGTTTAGACTACAAGGTATGCACTTTACCAATCAGTAAGTAGGTAGAAATTCAACGATCCGTGAATGACAGACTCCACTAAGTAGTGTGTGTGTGTGTGATACTGATCGACCAGAGGATGGTGGTAGCGTTATACTGCTAACTACAATAAGTCAGAATTTGTGTGTCATTCAATTATAACTCGGTGACTGAATGGTAACATGCTTGACTCATACATAGCCTGAGCGTTCTCGGCGTGAATAAGGATGCCGTTATGGGTGTACACTGGTGATATTAAATCCTCAAAATCACAACATTAAATTTCCAGCTGAAATTCGAAAGTAAGCAGATGCACTACTGTAACTGGTAGTAATCAGCATATGAATGCAGTCAAAATTTTATCAAAATACAGCTGATAGAAGTCAGATGTGTTTAATCTCTTACTGCTATATGATCTGCTTTAAATTAACTAAATTAATTACTAGTTCTGTAGCTTATGTTGCACTAACGGTGCTGTCTGTAAGTGAATATTTCCCAGTCATTTCAGCCATTTTGTTGTCAGTTGTTTGTCCTTTTACGTGCTCAATTATTAGACTTAGAATTAACGTGGAAAATCGACGTTTTTAAGCGACTGATATAGTCAGTGTATCAACCGAAATAATTTGTGGCGATTAGGGAATAACTGTTTGATTTAGTAGGTGAGTTTATTTATACATTCTCTATCTCATTGCGCTCTTGTAACATTAGAAATTCTGAGAGGAAGTATCATTTCGAAAAATTTATGTACAAAGTACTGGTGAAAATATCCCACATTCTTTGGTCGCGCTACAAGTATCAGATGTAGGACGACAACTGAGTCATGAATTCCAATTCAATCACTACAGAGAAAGAAAGTTCGGTAGCTATTTACCTAAACCTCACTCAAAGGGAAGCAGACTTTTCGTCTACGAGATTGTGAGTCACATTTATTGCGAAGGAACATAAAAGAGCATGGTTAGTCTACACATGGACAACCCATTCTAGATATAATCTGTAACTTGGAACATCACGCCACACCTAGTTGATAGGCTGACGCTCAAGTGATAGTATACGCTGTATTAGATTGCATAGAGGTAAAACTGAGAAGAAGAAATTTATTGTTGGTTCGATCTGTTTCTCCTAAAGACCAATCATAGCAGCAAAATTTGATTGTTTGACACTTGAGAAATATAGTTGTGACTAAGTAATACTGACAAAAATATCCAATCTCCATCTGCGTCATGGATGTAACATATTTTCTTTTTATACGCGGCTTATTTTTCATACATGTATCATCGTGACATTCGATTATCGATTTTGAAGTTTTCGTTGTGTTGTATGTCTGGTTCTGGAATGACCTACCTCAGATATTATGATACTCGATGATCTTAAGTTATGCATAACTTTATAAAGTCCGGCACTAATGATTCCTTGGGTCTTTACACAGGTCTCACGAAGGCTGGTATCTCGAAATGCACAAAACGTTCTCCTATTATCCCTTCATCCTACGACATATAAAAGTGAAATTAATTAGCCGGAAAAAGACACTGATTAGTGAGTTTCTTCAGTCTATCTTACACACGTATATGTAACATGGCTTACCCTTTTGGTGAGGCATTCAAAACATTTAAAATATCCAAGACGGATCCTTGGAAAAGATGCATATCAAATAAGTTTATGACTTTGGGGAAACCACATTTCGAAAAGGATGATAACTGTTTCCTGAGTAGCTTTTTGATTTCTTTTACAGTTGGACTTTTGTTATTTGTAAACCGGAAGTTGTATATTGCCTTTGAATAACACGAACTAGAAAAAGAATTATACAACAGAAATCGGTAAGTATTTAAATAGTCTAAAACAATAGGATAGTTAATGCATTACTTCCAAGACACTAGTCATGTCAAGCGATGCAGATGTCTTAGCACTCTGATGCAGTTCATGAATTATGTAATGCACATTTCTAAATATGCAGAAATAGCTTGACTTAACACTTTTATCCCTATCCGCATGTCATAACATTTACTTCACTACATACCTAAGAAGGAAGGCCTAATATTTATATTTTAAACCCACCACACTTCTTCAACATTTCGTCCATTGAACTTATGTTGAGATCCTTACAGTAGGTGATAAATATTAACGTTTTCAAAAACAACAGGAACGTTTATCTTCAGCGAGCAAAATCGCTTTTCAAATTCTTATTTTACAAAAGATGATAGTTCTTTCTTACACAAAGGGAGCTATTATATTTAAAGTATCGAGTAAATGAACGAGGTCGAGCCAACGACAAAGAAAGTTGTGATGACTAAAATTATTAAGTACGGTTTAATCATTTCGTGTTTCGCGAGTTCAAGTCGTTCTACTCAGTAGGCATGTAATTTTTTCTCAGTTATATGTAATCCCACATTGGCTTGCACTCTGTGTGGAGTAGAAATAATTAGGCGTATTTAGATGACGTTTTGACTAAAAACAGCAAATAATGGTGGAAGAAATAATAAGGACAAGCCTGCACAGTAAACGAAGTTTTCCGATACTCACTTTCAATAAAGAAGTTTCAAAAGAAATTACCAATAACCAAGAGAGAATTAAAAGTGACCATGTATTTTGATAATGTGAACTTATGCTTAGATAAAAGAGCAAATCTTATTGTTAGTTAAAAATGTGTGAAGCATTATCTGAGATTAGACCGATTAGCTGGCCCAGTAAAATGTACAGAGTAGGACGACAGTAATATACAATCGGTTAGTTCGAATTCCACGGCAGCTAAGATTTCCATTTCATCTTTGATGTTCATTCATCAGATCGTTCGTACTCTGTCGATCCAAATAGTCTGATTATTAAATATCAAAAGAGACTATTAAATAAAGTCGGTTAATTGAAAACTTCATCCCAATATATACTGATAGGATTCTTTGTGTGTTATCATTCTGACAAACTGATATAGATGTCATTTGTAGTCAAAATTACTTATTTACGATTTCTTTATTGTTTAGTTTCTGATGTAGACATTTTTATTTAGTCTCTGACACTCTGATCGACACAAATGTATATTTAAACATACTTTCAAACCTTCAAGTGAAGATATTTTAAAGTACGGTTATTGAAAACCTACGACTAACTGAATTTCAGCTAGCAAATGTGTTCCTAAATGACACTGAATGACTAAGTCAACTGAAATTTCACCATGTTCATCACAGTCATCAGCAAACTGATGACAAAATGTTACTTATTACTGGTGCTACTTTTTAAGTAAAAGCTGTACACGTTACTTAATATGGTTGTCTTAAAAGTTATTATTCACTTTGAAGCTAAAATCAGGGTGATTCATCTTTTTTATATTTTTGACAAAAAAATGTGTTTTTGTGGTAGGATTTTCAGCAGGACAAAGATTTTTCTGGTTAGCCACAAAAGTATGAAGATTTAAACTGGTTAAGCGAGAGAAAAAAACAGTTTGAAAATAATAATATTATCAATGAATCATATACCACGGTGTTATTGAACAAAAACCCTGTATTATACTACACTTTCAGCAACTTTGCTTGACAGATGTTTATCGATATACTGAAATAATGTTTTAGTTTTTGGTTAAACATAGATTAGCAATTTATGAATCAGCCATAGACTACTGGGACCGATCAGTTAGGTAGGTCTTAATACAACATTCCTAATTTAGATCCTGGTCATCGGTTTTGTATTATCACAATCGGCTCTATGGTATAGTCAACTGTTATGTGATGGAAGTTGAGTTGACTTTTGTTCAATTGCTATATTTAAGTGTTTAACCGATGTGTTCTTCAGTCGATATTGCAAATACCTTTGATTTCTTCGTTCGACAGATTCGCCTCTGAATGAATTATCATCCCTAGATCTATCCAGTCAAAAATAACACACTTCAGAAACTGGTGATCATCTAAGACTTGGTGCTATTAATACTGAAGTAACTTCGTTAGATTTCACCTTTTTAATGTCAGTATGAGTAGAAGTCTTGGTGTTCATCTGGACGCCATTATTTTCCGTACAATTCATGGAAGAATAATACAAAACTTCATGTAAAATAATCTCAATTCATAAAGTTCACCTACTCAAAAGATAAAATTTTGGCCAGGTTGTTCACCAGATGCGTTTTTCCGGTTCCAGTCAGTCCACAGATTACAATGAAATTATTTTCTTCGATGACAGATAAGTAAGACTTCAGTGTATTATATGGTACTAGACTTGTAAAACATCCATAGTTCAACATGTCAGTTTTCTCAATAACATTTTGGTGTAGCATTTTATCCATTCTTTTCAATTGTGACTTCATAGTACGACCTTGTAAATCTATTTCTATAGACAAGACGAATAGCTCCAAATCATAGCCTTTAGTAATTTCATCCAGCCACATAACAGGGAACTGTGAATAAATTTCTCTGTTTATGTGACAGCTGGTCTCCAGTGTTGCTGTCACAGGGAGTTGGGAATGATTCTGATTTGTTGTAAATAACGGTTGTGGCAGTGGTGGTGGTAGGATTCGTGAGAAACGTCGCACAATGTTCTCTGTTTTCTTTATATTCGGATATTGATAAATTGAATTTAGCTGATACGCCTTTAGTTCCAGTGAATTAAGTTGCAGTCGTTCATTAGGATCCAGGTAAGTGATGTAACACTATATGGAAATAAAGACAATAATTTGAAGGGCTATTGGTTAACAGAGTTAAAGAAGTATGCATACTTGAAATACTAGATGACTTTAGTGGCGGTGGTCAAGAGTGAATTTGCATCTAACTGTAAGTGAAATATTTGATCCAAAATTGAACAGCTCGGTAATAGCCTTTCTAGAATATGTAAAACAACTGAGAATCAGATAACCCTGACAGTTACTGTATCCTAGTCTACAGTGTTAAACAGTGAGGAATAGGAAGCCACACATTGATAACCTTACTACTCGGGAATAGATATGATGTACATCGATTAATTCCTGATGAACAAATGAACTTAATACTGTTCATAATATTGAAGTAGACCTGGTCACTAACACAAATCAGTCTGAAAGAGGTGTTAATCGTTGGTCAGTAGGCAGCTGTTCATCAGTGTGTAGGAGCAATTTAGCCAGTTGTTGAGTTCAGCTAACGGAGTAAATATTTTATTATCTATCCACCAAGTCAAAATCTAGTAACTGACATATATTTGTTTTGATTGCTATCAGTCCGTGGTACACTACAACCTTAGTTAAATATCATCGGTAAGTAGTTGTTTTCACAAGTTGAATATGAATTTATGTAATTAGTGTATAACAAACAAATAATAGCAATTGTATCAGGACACTATAAGGCAATACGAGGAGATCAAACAGAAATAAGGCAAGCTAAGCAACCAGTCGAATGAAGAGAGTGTAGAATGCATTCAATCTCTGGTAAAACCGATTTCCAGAAACAATCACAAGGATCATAAAAGTTTTTTGCATTTATCAATGAATGAAATACCAAACATTACCGAGACTCTCAAACAAAATGAGTACCCGAAGAACATCAACAAAATCAACACTCACATTAAGTATAGTCGAAAACGTATTCCGGAAACATGGTCCTCAACAATTGTCACTCTATAGAGAGCAGAGATGTCAGACGATATCAGAAGAGTACTCAGTAAGCACGACATCAGAGTTCTCTTCAAAACATCAGACACACTGCAAAGCAACCTTATCCATATAAAAGACCAAATCCCTAAAGATTCTCTATCTAATTGTGTCTATAAAATAAAATGATTGGAATGTGACGCGATATACATTGGAAAAACATCTCGAGAAATCAAAATTCAGAAGAAATTAACACCGTAGAGCATCTGTTCGACCACGAAGAAATCTAGTTGAACTAGAAAAGCCTGAAAAATCATCATCCATAGGTCTACGTGCTAGAGAATCAGACCACAAAATTGACTCTGACAATAATGAAATAATCCAGGAAAATTTCAGAAATCACAAAGAACGTCTAATTTCAGAAGCGTTTCATATCAAGTGGAATGCAAATTCTCTGAATACGAATGATGGACTGAAACGGAATTCGACCTGGTTACAACAGTTCCTCCGTCAAGAATTTGATAAGCGATTTCATTATGTAAACACACGCTGCTTTTATAATTTTATACACTTATCAAATCCAACAATCTACACCTGGTTTTGTTATCTTTGTCAATCGGCCAACTTGACAATGCGAAAATGAAGCCATGTTCAGGATTGATGATTAAGTTGTTATATATATAACCTGGGATTTTGTAAACTCTGGTTCAATAATACTTTGATAAAGCTATTAGCATTGAATAGCGAAACGTCAGTAAAAACAATATCGTTTGTTTTTCATTCATTAGGAAATACAAAAACCTTTATTATAATCAATATCATATACCCAATGGCGAAATGTTTTTCAAACTTTTAAAAGTGAACTTCGTTTGGACATATATAAATCACAAGGATATGTAGATGCTACACCGAAAAGTGGTAATTCGTTAGGCAACTTAGACCACCATTTTGATATTTCATAGGATTAGCATCACTTCCCGTTATATATTTACCCAGTTCACTTCAATTATCATTTTTTTTACATATGTCTTTCTTTTACAATTCAATGAACAAGAAAGTGCAGTTGACTTATTCCGACAATTATGACTTTTTTGAATGAAGCCTTCCGGTAAGAAAACGCCTCCATGAGTCTTTGAATTGTCTTAGTTATGTCTTCTTCGTCAGTTGCCATAGATAAGCATACCACTAGGACTAACCGAAAGCGTTTATTATTATTACTATCCGATACTGTTGGCATATAAGCAATTAGAATGAATGTTGCTTATTAGCCTCATATCACAATTTTATTGAACAATTAGTAAGTCAAATTATACTTATATATATATTCCAGCATATTTGGTTATTAAATAAAAATAAAAATGAATAAACACTAACCACTGAAAACTACACATGTACACATCTAACTGTATAATGGATGCACTGTTCATGTAATATCTAGAAAGTAGTTCAATTTTCTTATTCATAAAGTTGAAAGGTATTCTTTATTGTGTCTGTTTGTGTGTGTGTGTGTATTTCTCTTGATTCGAATACCACTACTACGTTTAGTTTATACAGTAGAAGGTGGAACAAACAGCAGGTACTGTTTTCTTGTATTACTGATAACAAAAACACAGTAGATTATTTCCAATTTGACTGATAACTATGTAGTTTGCATAACTGGAGTAATAATCTATCTAAATAAACTGTATACTAACGCCAAGTCTTTCAGAGATTAGAATTGACTGTCCTCTCGTAAATAAGTATACATACATGTTGTGTCAGTGCTTTATTTATCCTTGCTTTTAATCTAATAAGCAATATTTCGGTTTCACAATAATATTTTTATTTTCCATCGTTGAGTTGGTTGAAACTAGAATTAAACACTTCACTAGGTAACTAATATCAGAGTATATGTCTGATTAAAATTAAACCCGAAGATTTTACAATAAACTAAAGGCAGTGAAGAGATTACTGAAAACAGAACAGTATGGGACTAATTATTTTAAATAACCCAAAATACTTTCAAACATTGGGTTTGTAGACACTGGGTTATTTTTGACAGAGACAGTAACTGTTTTCATTATCATATTCTGACTGTGACTCTGATATAATTGTCTTGTTACTTACTCATTCGTTGAGCTTCAAAAGCCTATTTCCAAGGCACTCTGTTCTCTCCTATCATTTTCAATCGGCTTCAAAACTGTCTACAATCTCCTATTTCCTCTTCACCTGATATTCATCATGATCCACTCTGACATCCAACCAGTCGTTTTTCATTCTGATTCCACTTGACGCCAGTATGGCATGTGATGTCACTGAATAGTCTACTCACTGCGCCTCCAGCCTGTCTCGATTTCCTCCTGCATTTTTGTTGCACAATAGCTTCTTGAGTGGTTTGATGACCTCCAGAGTTCCTCGGCGTTTATCCTTCCCAGCTAAGAAACTGATTTGCACTATCGAGCCATCGAAGGCAAATGTTGATGAAGGCGCGCAGCCGATTCGCGAAAATGTCTTAAGTGACGCGCTCCAAGTCCTGGGAAAATAAAAATGCGTTGGATATACATCACCATTGAAAATTGGGATGTTGTCCGCTGTGCTGAGTTTATAGATACTTCAGTCGATTTCAGAGAATTGAATGCATGTCTTGCTTTCTCAATCCTGACTTTGACATCTTCGTCCATGTCGTCAACATGCAGTAGGAACTATGCCGCCCAAATAAGTGGCAGTAAAACTGACGACTTGCTTTAGATTTATCCCAATGAGTGTGACTGGTGTTCGTTGTTGTTGTTGTTGTTGGTTGTGGTGGTGGTGATGGTGATCGGTTATCTTGTTACCCCTTTCTTTTCAATCTTCACTTGAAGTACTGTCTTTTTTGCCTCTTTTACTAACCTATTAGTTTTCTCTTGCGTATCTTCCAGTTTATGAGGCAAAAAACATAAGTCCCCTGTTATTCCAGATATTCTAGGCTATCGTTATCTCTTCAACATGAATCCATTTAATAACCTCCCCACAGTGTGCTGAATGACGCAGTTCACCAAAATCATGAATATTATCATTGATAGTGGGGAGGCTTCTATTTCATATGCCATGAGATCCAGTACCTCGATGTGGTTTCTCTTGTGAATTACTTGGAATTCGGCATCATCGTATCGCTGTTGGATGGAGTTTATAAATGTGTGTGGCACTGCATTTCACGGTCATGGAGAAGCTGTCAAATTACTTCACAATCTATGTTGTCGAAAGACTTTTCAAAGTCGGCGAAGTTGAAGTATAAAATTAACTGTCATTCAAACCTCTGCTCGATGATGATATGTTATGCTATGATTTCATTTATTCCTCTTGAATCCAGCTATTTCTGGGCGAAGTTTCTGTCAACAGCCTCATTAGGGCACTAGGGCTCGATCTATATTCAGACGGTACTTACTGCTATTGTCACTTTGATATCTTATTGCACAAATTTATAACCAATACTTACTTGTGTTACTGCACACTAATGACTAGAATAAATCTCACTTGCTTCCATAAACCTACAGCCAATTAAGTGAGGAGAACACATTGTGTCATACTGTGCTCAAATAATAACAGCAGAACAGATTTTTCTCCATCTTTATTCTTCTTTCAGTGAACAAAGAGAAATAATAAAAGCTTCACTAATTTTATTGCCTTTTCAATCTATTTCTTCAAAGTTTTGTCCGCTTTTTACCATGCTTTTATGTTCAGGGATTATTGGCCGTATAGACCTAGCATAACCTCCTTATAACTTTCGATGGACCAATATAAAAGCAGTGTAATGGATACTTGGATTTACACAGCTATGCAGTGCTTAATGCTTGGTGGTTCGCACACCGGTATTGTAGAAAGATCTGGACTACAGAAAATAGAAAGAAGTATGTTTTATAATTTAGGCACTTACAAGCCCATATACCCACCTGAAGTAGTTCTTGCAGTACTTCATCCAGCTCATTCCAAGTCATATCATCCTTTAATCCAATGCATCCTATTTTCAGTGATTTTTTCGATTCTGAATCAATAATGATTTCTTCAGTGTTCACAAGGACTGGCACAAAATAACGACTATTTTTGCAAAATTTAGACGACAAATCTAGTTAATGTGTCATGAAAGAAGATAAAGAAATAACTCGGATTATTAAGTATTAACCACGGGATGAATAAGCTTTATTGAACTAATACGGACATTGTGTCAATGGACAACTGAATATAATAAAACTGGTTATAGTTCGCTTTCTGTCTTCTTGTACATTCAACGGATTGAAACAACGATGATGATGACTGTAAAGTGACCTAACTATCGTAAGACCAAAATGGTTCTTATATATATATAAATTATCACCCTGGCTCATTCAGGTGCTGAGAAAGAAGTATTACTGACATGTCCATGAATGAGTATGTCACTCAATAGAAATGAAATCTGGACTTACATTAAGCATGCAGCTAGGCTTGCATGTAGAATTTATTATTTTATTTTGGAGTATCTGCTTGAAAATGAGCATTTTTGTCTAAATTAATCTGTCGCCTAAGCAATAAATAGAAGTCCTAATTAGTAAACTGTTGTAAAAAGAACTACCTGAGTTGATTTCTCGTGAAATGATGCTTTCGATGGGACTTAATCTTCATCTTTAGTTCCAGTTGACATCAACTTCAAACGAGATTTTTGGTATTTGAAGGGATTCATGTAACTGATATTCGCATTATCAAATCTGATTATATATTACAAGTGATATAGTATTGAAATGCTCATCTCTTGAGTATGTGGAATAAGATATTCACAATTTCTTAAAATCCTGTGTGAAGTTTATACTGCAAATAGTGATAAGATTTGAGACAGGAACGTTCGTTCAGTAGAAAATAAATTCCGGACGAGTGTTTTAATACCCTCCTTAATTATGTATATTTCATTTTCCAAAATAGATTAGTATGACCATGTTATGTCATAGGTGCATACTTTAACTCGAATATTTTGATAACTCCTGCTCTCGAAACCGTTTCTTTTCCTCATATCATATCATGTCATAATCATATACTAACTTAACATATGCTGGCTGAATGTCTTTCCTCTACGTAACACGGTCAAGATTAGAGCTGAAATGAAAGCCCATATGGTTGTTATTTATAATGTAAGCTGATCGAATTATGATCTGATTTAATTTTTATTTTGACTCAGGGTGCGTCTCACTTATGAAATGCCCAATTCAACTATAAAACTACAGGTGCAAAATCGATTTTTGAAACGTCCTGTATATACATATACAGATACCTTTATGGGAAAAGATATTATGCGACATGCGATCACATTTTTCGTACATAATACTGCTGTGAATGTTTATTAGTTCACCAACAAACGCACAAAACCCTTCACTTATACACACGTACAAAATAAGTACACAAAGAAGAGCTCTGACTGTACATCTACTTATCAGGATGCTTTCCAATGCATTTCTGTAAGTTTATGTATAAATAAAGACAGGAAATTACACGTTCTTTCTGCATATGCAAATAAATGTCAGAAATAATGATATAAATAGAATAAAGTAAGTTAAATTCTTCGCTACGGTAGACTTATAAATTGTTTTATGCCTTAACCTTGATTCAGAATTCATTGTATCACGTTAGCATGTCTGGGCATTACTCTGTTGAACAGAACATTTCTGTGATCATCAATATGTATTAATTGACATGTGTTCCCTAGACAAAACGATGTCTTAATATATATCATTTAAGTGATCTGACAATGAATTTGTTTAATAATAACGACTACACTCTTGTAGTAGTACGTAATCTAAATACGGAAATGTATTAAAGAAGAATGTAACAAATACCAGAAGGTTGGGATGATGATAAAAGTCAAGCTTGTAGTACACTTGAATCGTTTTCACTGCCGGATTCTAGACACTTCATTAGAATTCCAATGATTAAAATGAAAGTGAATCATAGCGTTTTATTTGGACAGAACGTGAGCATTTCGATGAAGTAGAAATCCAGAGTAGAATAATTTATAAGACGCAGTATTATTGTCTGCTTTACATGAAATCTATTCTATCATGCTGAGGATTAAACACGTCTTGAGAATGACGATTCTGGTAAGCCGAGATATACAACACAAAATAGGGATTTTGTAAAGTCATCATTTGAGAAGTTGTATAAATCGTATGTCTTTTCTGTTTAGAACACGACACATTCTTTATATTTGGAGGCTTGTGATACTATTTAGCCGACTTGTGTGAAGTGAAAGAGTTCAGATTTGAATCTTGAAACTACTAACCAGAAAATACATCATTAACTCGAACTCACAATAGTATTGCATTGTGTTAAGAAAGATCAATTATTAGAAGAAAACAAACCTGATAAAAACACTTTTCTGTTGGTTCCTTCCAAACGAAATTCATTGCATAGAAGTTCATCATCAGGATTATATTTCAATACGGTTTCCTGTAGTTTTTTGTGTCTTGCTTCAAGCAGATCTATCCTACATTGCAATCGACTGATTGTCAGATAAAGTCGATCCAACTGATTGTCATCGTTCGATTTCTGACTGATTTGGTTAGACTCCATACTGAAAATAACGACATTTTTTAAAGGTTGAGATAATTATGAAATGTGTAGCAATTTATTCAGTGGACAATTTGTAATAGAAAAACAGATAGCCTTTTTTGCTTCCCCGATTCTAACTCCGATATACTCATCCGTGCCTTGTGTAGTTTAGAATGTACTGCCCAGCTACTTCGTTACAAGCGATTTTATGAATATCAGTAGTGGCAAAATGCATACTGGATGGCAGGTGTATGTATTCAGACAGAAAAAGTGGTTAGGCATTCAGTTTCTAGGAGTTTTATTCATCCTCTTGAGCTATAAATCTTCTCCATTATTTCCCTTCTAAGAATAAGATCAATTTCGTTTACGTCTTCGTATTTTCTGGTTTCTGTAGAAAGTTGATAGAAGTAAACATGTGTTTTATATATTTGTTACACTATTAACCATTGTGTTCGTGAGCCTAAACTATATTGATTTCCTTTAATGAAATATGGTCTATTTAAAGCAAAATGCCGAATAGAGTGCGAAATTGTAGAGCACTTCAAATTACATCTTGAAAGTTTTTATAAATTACTTTCACACTTAACTCAGTTTAGTTAAGATTTTTTTGACAAAGCAATACAGGTTCCGGGAACAACTGAAATTATGCATGGGCTCTGCTGTATAGATCCAAAACAATGAGAATAAGATATGAAATTCTACTTCCTTTTCAATGGATCTTCAGACGACTGTCGGTTCTGAATGAAATCTTCTCGAAAACGGATTGATTCTCGGGAAACCTTACAACCGATTAAATAATACTGACTAACTACTTCATCTAAGTGATCGATATTAGTGTACACTTAAGCTTTTTCAACTGTCCTAAATACAAAAATATGACAATAAGTCAAAGGATCAATCACTCTGAGTGGTCTAAATTAACTTACTTCGTAATCGTAGTGTCATTTATTGTACCCTCTGAATTGGTTGATTGTGTAGTCGACCTTGTGCGTTTTCTAAACGCTTTGGCTATGGATTTGCCCAACTACAAAAACATGGTTGAAAGATTAAAAAAAGTGTGTAAGGGTAAGAGATACGGACTCAATTTGTGGGTTTCAAAGTCAGTTATGATGAACCTCTGGATCTAGGATTGGTTGAACTTATCATCAATTATGATGTAGAGAATTCAGAATATCATTTTCTACTTGCATTATAAAGTTAGGTGAACTTGCGTTGAAGCTAACAAGTTCGTTATTCAGCCATTCGGGTCTAATGAGCTTCAGTGTTGTGAATACGACTAATTTACAAGTGCTAGCAAACTTTGCTTTCACTTTATACTAATATGATAATAACAGTTCACAATCGCCTGCAATCACTTTGCTGATCCGATTACACCATTAGTCTTATCTCAGGATTAGAAAAATATGCTTTTATTCGTCCAACAAGGAATTACTAAAACTAAGTCTGCTTATTCTAGGTTTTATATCCCTGGGTTTGGCCTCACACAAGCGTATAACCCTATAACGACTTTATTCTGAAGTTATGGAGCACTTCAGTATATCCCTTTTGTTGTGAGGACTAAATTTTCTTTAGTTGTTGTCTCTTTGAACATTCCCGTAAATTCAGTGCTTGTTTAAGTTGTTTCGGTCCATATATATTCATCAATGCATTCAATTGTTTGAACTGTTGTCAACAGTCAGTCTCCTCTTGTTTTAAAGTTCCGGTGGTATATCAACAGTTATGGTTGACTATTTTATCAACCATTTAAATAGTTTTAGTTAGCACACAAGGTTCGTATTGCACACAGGCTACTAGCTCGTATCAGTGGTCATATCGTCATATTAGTGGAAATATATTTTAAATACAAGTAAATGCCATTTCAAGCTCTGTTCAATGATGATCCGGAGTGTTCCGACTTGATCGATGCATGACTTGTTTCTTTTGAATCCAGCCTGTTCTGGTCGAAGTTTTACATCCAGGGCGTGTTTGATTCCCTCCAGGATGATGCAGCTTAGTATTTTACTTGGGATAGACAGGAGAACAATGCCGCGCCGATTCTTGCATTAGCTTAAGTTTCCTTTCTTCGGTAGTTGGAATACGTAGACTTTCTTGCAATCCGCAGGTTCCTTGCCCTCTTTCCAAACCTTCATCAGTAGTGTTATCGTGAAGTCCGCTGATGTCTCCGAGGCCATTTTCAATGCTTCTGCTGGGATTCAGTCTGGTTTTGATGCAGCTTTTCCAGTTTTTAGCATCTTTATTGCCTTCAGGATTTTCATCTGTTTTCATCAGAGGATTGATGTCCACTGATAGTTGTGCTTCCGTTGTTGGTATTATTGGGCGCGTTGTAGGTGGCACCACATAAAAATAAGTTTATTTTTAATTATCACACAGCTATGCAGTATTAACAACTGGATAATTCATATGAACCTGTTTCACTCTGTTGACTAATCTTGTCTATGTAGCCCGTAGTACTTAGCGTATAAGTGCAAAAAATAAATTCAGAGAAAATCAATCTATTTAATTCATCCTACAGTACACAAAGTTTTCTAAAGACACAGTTAATTGTAAATCACTTGAAAAAAATGACAGGAAGATGAAATGAAAAAGAAAAAAAGACAGATGAGGAGTAGAAGTATGCTTAGAACATCGATGAACTGCCAAGTCTTATTATAACCATTCAAATTTAAAAACAATATTTCACAGGAGGTTGTTGTTGTTGTTGCTTTCAAAGTACAAAGCTAAAATCTCATCACCGTTATTTCGCAAACATGCCAATGAGTAGTGTGGATCATATTGCACTTGTTCGCTTGCTTCCGTTATGCAGTTTATAGAGTTAAGCAGGTCAAAAATATTGTATGTGACTACAGAAAACCGTAAGAGAAATTTCTCTTGAAACTGTAAACTTTGTCAACGGCTGTCTGCATACCATATGTCGTCGGCTCTCAGTCATTATTTCATTGGTTTGAACTGACTAAGCATTTTAGCTGAGATAATGCGTGTTTACTTCCGCCTGGTATTTGGACCACTCCGATGAGGCTGACAAACATCAGTGGTATTAGATTTCGGTATTATTAGGCAGTATGTATGTGCGCCAGTGGCACAGCGATTAGGACGCTTGCTGACCATGCACATAGTCCAGGGTTCGATCCCCGGCCGACGAACTCCCTTACCTCGCTAAGCCAGTAATAAAAGCTGGTAAAGAGGAAAGGTTGGGCATGAGGCTAGCAACCACATCCTGTAAAAATAATCACCACTGATACAGAAACTTCAAGCCTCCAGCCTGAAGCCCTATGTTCCACTGGGAACGTGAAGGAATAAAAAAATGTTCTATTGACCTCCTGTCACTAGTTGAACTGGAGGAAGACTAGATCAGCTGTTGTTTTAAGGCTTCAAGTTGCTGTCCTTGATTTTGAAAGGCCTATAGTGATGGCAGATCACAATACTAACTTCATCTGCGTACACTATGTTTTTTGATAATGGAATGTTCAAGAGTCGAATGTTCGATCCCTTTTGTGATTATAATGCAAAAGTGGCATGATGGGAAACGGCACACAAAATGACAATAATAAGTTTCGAATGAAGTTAGACTAAATGCAGATTAATTGTTGTGAGGAGATACTTAAACAAGAATGAATATTCAACAAAAAGGAGATGTTGGTAAATGAAGTATCATAATTCAAATTAACGACTTACTTAGTAATACTGAAAACCAACCAGATTGTTACTCTTCAAACATTCATTCTATTCACTGTACTAACAAGCCAATATGCAACTCCAGCCTAACTCCCTCATTTGAAGTTAGTTTGACGATTAACTCGTGATTAATCCTAGTCAACAACAATCTCTGACTATTATCAGGTTCATTCTTGGCTCCATGTATCCCTATAGTGATGGCAGAAGATAGCCTCAATCATTTGACCTGAGACCATGTAGTTCTCACTGACCAGGTAAATGACTCTTCTCTGAGGCTAGGTACTTGAACTGCACATTCGAGTCTCCAGCTAGCACTATGATGTCTGTTGAGTGTGTGTGCTGAAGGTCACTCGGTAGATTGTAGGAGTCAAGCGCCAACCGTTAGTGAGTACTCAGAGAATACAGGTATAATGATCATGAATCAGGTGGGTGAGTGTACGACTAGTGGAGTAATTTTCCAGAGTATATTGGCAAGCGGAGTTCCCTACTGATTTTGTGATTCCGTGATTTGTGTTAAGTGAACCCTGTTTACTAGCTCGCCATTAAATTGTTCTTATACTGATAATCTTTTTCCAAGGGCCAAATGAAGGTCATTTCCAAAGTTTCACGATCTCAGTTGAGAAAGAAGTTTAGCTATCATAACCCGTGAAGTGTTCTCGTTTTATGGATTTTGGTTTAGAACGAACTGTTTTACTTTGAAATGACGCCAGTGAATATATTCTTCGTAGTGCAAAAATATTGACATAACTTGAAGGCAGCTGTAACTGCCAATAAAACAAGTGCACATTTAACAACGAGTATTATGAAGACGATCAGAATTAACGCCATTGTTTTCTGTATGCAAATGAATAATAGTTATCATTATCTGAAATAGCTATGACAAATTTAACGACAGCATTTTATCAGTTGTAGTGCAGCCCTTCGAATTACGCAATAGATTAAGCAATCTTAGATTTCTGTCTTGTTTGAAACTTCTCTCTAATGAGATGGGTTTGTAGTGTTTCGCTGAAATTTAGTTTCAACACATCAACCATTTCTCCCTTTAGAAAGTAACAGTTTGACGAATCATCAAAAGTTATCATTACAGTGAGCAAAAATATAATATTCAAGTACCAATACTTGAATATCAATGAGATGCTCACTGGTGACTGGCCCTATTCAGGTAGGTAGTTACCTGGGGTTCCAGTGGGAAGTCGTGCTCAGTGGGGTGCAGCAGGTCGGGTGGGAGGACGAATACTCGCCGAAGACATTGGCTAGCGGTTGTGCTATATCGTGAATTGGTAGAAGTTGGGGTTCACGCACTGGCCATTGTATCGGGTCCCAGTGGCTTACTGGTCTACAAGCTAGCTTGCCTTGTAACCAGAAGGTCATGGGTTCGAACTTTGGCGGTGGGTGAATCGATGAAGACTGCCAAACTAGGACGAAACAGCTGTCCAGTACTCCCAGGTATTCCAATGGCTCTCTAACTAATGTCAGCTCATGATGAAATACTGTAACCAAAGAAAAAATATAGGTTTACTGTTGATTAACTTAACAGTACCTAGGGGAAGTGACTGACCGTTAGGTTAGTCAAATTGAACCTAAGGCTTCCACCAGTAGAGATCGGTAGGCGACTATGGAGGTTAGCCACCTATCAGCTGTTTGTTTCGATAGATCCTGCATCTTTTATGCATAATATCAATAGACAGTTGTAATATATAAGTCACTAACATATATCGGTAATCGAGATTTATTAACAACTCTCCACATATATATGTTTAAATACCAGCGTTGTTCTGGACAAAATATTTCCAAAATATACAGAATTTATCGCATAATATTTTTCATCATTCAGGATCGACAAGTACAATAGCAATCTACGACATATCATGTAATGCAGTGTTGTTCTTTCTCAACCACAGACTAACCTTTACATATTTAACGTAAGTTACCTATTCCATGCTAAAAGTGACCGAATTCGTTTACTGGGTAGTATTATAAAAAGAGAATGTGTACTAGATGTGCCTATCGCTTGTTTCTTGAAGCCTTTCCTATCTTAAAATTTTTATTCCTAATCGAAGACAGTAACAATCCAAAGTAGACTGCAAGGAATACTATAAAAGTACCTTGTAATAATCAGAAGAAACTGACTGAAATCACGTGGATGCCGGACATATCAGCTCTCAGTGGGTATTAACAAAGTAATCGCCATATTGATCAAGATTTATGAAAAGAGAATTGATAGATATGGTGCCGCCATGGTGACCAGTCTTATTTATTCAACCTGGAGTCCTGTGTGTGTGTGATAGCTGAGGTATCAAAATCTCTGACCGAAAGCTCTATATTACTTCCCAAAGGAAATTTCACCAATAGATTGATTTGTCTGTTGTTTCCACCACATTTCAGAGAGGTTGCAACTTCATAAACCGATGCCACTCTCATTTTTCACTGTTTTGTCACCCAATAACATGGTAGAGATGGAGGATAGTTCACCACAAATAACTGATGTTTCATAACATTAATTGCTCCAGTTTTGAGCACAGATTGGTGTCAGTTAGAGAGCCATTGAAAACCAGGAACTACTCGACAGCTGTTTCGTCGGTCTAGTTTTGAACTCATCGTCAGGAGCATCCACCGTCAGGGTTCGAAGCTGCGACCTTCCAGTTACCAGTCAAGCTTCTAGGCCATCCAGACACTGGGATTCGACTCATTGGACATGAATTACTATTTTCTTGTTTCATCAGCTGACTTCCCTAAGTGACTTAAAATTAGCGACTCAATTTAGACATTAGATGGAAGACACTTGTATCACAACGAATACATTCCTTTCACGTCTTTAGCTTTCGAACGTCAAACACAATATCTTCAAACGCAAAACAAACTGATGAGTGTGTCTTCTAGACAAGTTAAATTTTTGCCCGTTGACTGCGACATTTGCAGTTACTAAGTGTCATGCAGGCTACACTGTATCTTCCTGTAGCAGTTGTGAACCACGTGACCATCCGTGTTGACGAACTTTATTAATAATTTTCAGACGAACGGTCCAGCCAACTAGAGTGCGTTTTGCAGCTGGTGGCAGAAACTGGCTGTTGAGAACCACTTGTAGAGTCACACTTAAAGCTCAAATTAATCACACACACACACTTATTTTCCTAACGCTTTTTCCCATATTTTTAAGTTGGTGGGAGTCCTTCACTTCCAAATAACTGGAAATCGTCATCTGTGCCTCTAGTTATAAATAGAAAAAAGATTGAAATCCGAACTCACCCATCTGGAATGTTTAGTATAGACTGTCTGTGTCTCCAACGTTGAAGCGTTATTCCCAATAGAATAGGAGCAGTTGTCATGTTTCTTTGGATCTGTGGGCATGGTTTGACCGCCGGCACTTGTGCCACTTGCAACGCTACTCAAGCTTACAGCATCTTGATTATCTGAAAAGTTTTAAATATGAGGCGGCGAAGAGAGATTAAAAGGTCTTTGTTGAAATATGAGATATTGAGCTTTTTAAGAATAATCCGTTCATCATCTGATTGCCTGTTACTCAATGCTTAGACAGTAATCTGTATTTGAATGTAAAGTGATGGACAAAGTGAGAGTCTGTTTGCCACTGTAAATGCATGATGGCTTTCTCGTCAAATCCCTAATTCCATGTTGTTCTCGTGTGTACTGAAGCCATCTTTATTGCACATGGTTCAAAATATTTCAAAATGATTCTTCATGATAAATGGAAGTCGGTCGTGTAGGCAATAAACACCGGGTAGATTTATGCAGCTGACGTTGATGTATGGTGAGAATATGTGACTCACATCAGTTACTTTTCCATAAAGATCTACTCAGAAAAGATGTTGATTATTAGGTTTTGATAACTAAGTATTGTGTTTTCCTGTTTCATATGTAGGTTTCCATGATGAACTGTGGACGCATATTAACTGTGGTCGGCCATCTATTTTCTAAGAACAGCGACGTATAAGCCTATCACAGCGACGAAAACTATTCGAAGAATCTGAATCAAAATCTTTTCTTACTATTTTGTAAAGGTTTGAAGTAAACCACGAGTAATTTAACCACTTGAAAAAGTTCCTATCAAATGCACTGAGTGCATAAAATGAAGTGGGATGGTGGGGGGGGGATGTGAAAAGTGAAGTTTCACCGAAGTGAATTAATTACGATTAATTCTTTTTATCCTTCTGATTTGACCTGCACATGAGCTTTGTCTCATTTTATACTCTGTTGGTGTTTTACGATCCACTTTTACATTTCATTGTTGCTTTGAAACGCGTAACTCAATGGTCGAATACTTTGACATGTCATTTATCAGCCTGTGAGCTGTGAATGTATTCTCGTAATCATCCTGAATATTGCACTTCTGAAATGCTTATGCATTTTGATGCAGCGCATTAGGATTTCTTAACGGAACAACATTTGCAAGTCTAATAGCTTCGAATTAAATAAGAGAATATAATTAGCTGAATATAATGAAAGTAGAGGTTTCCATGAAGATTTATGAATCCCATTGTGACATTTTCCGGAAGCTAAGGAGTCTGAAAATTGTCTAAAATATCCTTTGTACATATTTATCCAGTTTCTTATACTATTCATATAGAGAACAATAAGGTGGCCATAGAATCCAAACTCACCTCGGTAAAAAGCATCAGGAAGTGTACGACAAGACATCGATCTTCTTGGTCGTGGTTTAAAACTGTTTGGAGAGTTGGCTAAAGACTTGCTGTCCCTATCTTCCTCACGTGTATGATTTACAATGCTTTGAAGCTCTTGTATCTCAGAGTTCTGACAAAGAAATTATAATCAAATGGGCAGACAGTTTTAGACGTCAAATACCAACTCAAATGAACGGTTAGTGTAAATATTAGAAGAATAGGCATCATTCTCAGTATTCACTAAAGATGGTAACTAAAGACAGATATTTTGTTAAAATAATAACTGTCGAGATACTGCCATAACGTAGTATGATAGAACTAATCCTGAAGTTTCAGTTGGATGCACTTCCTTCGATATGATCATCTCTACTTCTTCTTAAACGTCTTTTAACGACAATGTCTAATTATGTGAATTCCAATGGTTCAATATTCTGTTTCTGAAACCCAGGCTTTGGATATATTTGTCATCTTATAGACATGTGCAGCTCTCAGAAATTTAAGGGCTGAATTTTTCATAACTATGGAATATTGCATTTCCTTGTGCGTTGGTGGCACAGTGGTTAGGACGCGAGCGGATCATGGACATGGTGCAGGGTTCGATCCTCGGCCGACACACTCCTTCACCTTGCTAAGCCAGTTATAAGACTGGTAGACAGGAAAGGTTCTGCATGAGGCTTGCATCTCCATCCTGTAAAAATGAACACTTCTACGGAAACTTCAAGCCTCAGCCTGAATCCCTATGTTCCACTGGGAACGTGAAGGAATAAAATAATAATAATAATACAAATTAACGCAAAAAAGCAATGCCAATTAGTTTTACTCTATTGAACTTTCAAAGATTTAACTTTTAGACGTTGTCGTC